TACTACTACTACACACACACACACACACACACACACACACATATATATATATATATACACACACACACACACACACACATATATATATATATATATGGTTGAAATTAGTTATACATGATGGTTCATGTGGCGGCTTTAGACTGTACTCGCGCATGTGTATGGACGCTCAAGCATACATGAATGGCTATATAGTTGTCTGGTGTTTTGATGTGTTTGTGTTGGAGCGCAATAGAGTGTTCGTGATGTAGTTTGATGTGTCTATTATGGCACAGGTGTGTGGGTATCGACCTTTGGATTTTGGAGAGCCAGCTGACGCCTTCCGGTCACTTTCTATAGCTATAACTTTATGCACAAGCCGAAATTGGATCTGTTGTTGTCAATTTTCGGATCCCAATTGCCAAAAATAGAGAGATCCTGGGCTAGATTCCATATTTTTGCGCTGAACTTTACTGAATCCTATTGCAGGCGTGGAAAGGGGAATGGGAATGCGCCTTCCTCGACCCTGCCATCCAAAAAGAAGCGCAAGCGTGCATCTGCCGATCCCAATAAGGACCCGAAGGCCAAAAAGGCCAAAAAAAGTGCAAATGGTAATAGCACTATGGATAAGGTATTTTCGAGGATAGAGTGCACCAGAGGATCTTTTTTAGAAAGCAACCAAAGTATACAGGGTAGTTATTTGGGGAACAGAGTCCACAATAGGGGGTAGTTATCTAGAAAACAAAAGTGTACGGGCTAGTTATTTGGGAAGAGCGTATACAATAGGGGGTAGTTATTTTGGGATCAAAGTGCATCATAGACAGTTGGTGTGCTTATTCCGCGGGCTTTCCAACTGTACTGCGATTGCCGTTACGTTGGCTGGATGTGTGTCCAGAGATGGGAGAGTTCGGAATGTAGGTCACAAGGTTATTAGGTAGCCTGACTGATGGAGATGTTATTCTGGTCGAGTGTCGTAGAATGCTTCATGTCTAGTATCAGTGCTTTATGTGTACAATTAGTGCTTTATGTGTACTATGAGTGCTTCATGTGGACTATGAGTGCTTTATGTGTACTATGAGTGCTTTATGTGTACTAAGAGTGCTTTATGTGTACTATGAGTGCTTCATGTGTACTATGAGTGCTTTATGTGTACTATGAGTGCTTTATGTGTACTATGAGTGCTTTATGTGTACTATGAGTGCTTTATGTGTACTATGAGTGCTTTATGTGTACTATGAGTGCTTCATGTGTACTAGGAGTTGTTTCCTCATGCCCGGGTGCCCCATGTTCGTATGGTTGTGTTTGTATTCGCATGTGTATACCACTACACACAAAGAGACGTAAATTCCTATTTGGTCATGTAGAAAGATATTCGCACCTGCATCGTGCGTTCAACAGCCTACAAGTTTATTCACTCGTGCAGAAAGATATATGCACTTGTATTTTACATATACCAACCCCCTCACTCACCACACTCACGCAGAAAGATACATCGGGTACAGCCTCCGCCGGTAAGAAGAAGAAGCTGCAACCACTTAAGTCCAAGGGGTCTGCTACCTCCTCAGGTATACGAAGCGCTGTATCAACCCGTGCGAGCTTGCATGAGAATTTAACCAGTGAGATGTGCAGTGAAGGCCTTTTGACTGAGGTGTTGATGTACAAGTATACGACTGGTTGCTGGTGACTCGACATTTGTTGCATGTCCGCGCGTTTTTCTGCTGATGCAGATGGTGCATACTTTATTCTGTATGTACGCTTATGCAATACATATATATACATAC